AGTGAGGGGGAGAGTGTTGAAAATTGTGATGAAGATGGAGATCTTATAAGTTCTAATGATCCTACTGAGATACCTATGTCTGAATCATCACTTAAAAAACCTGAAACACCTGAAAAGAAAACATTTCCACAAGATCGAGATAAAGATCCTGAGGAACCATCGACTAGGGTTAAGTCTAATCATCCTAAGGACAATATCATTGGGGATCTAGATGAGGGTATGAGGCTTCGTAGGAGAGTACTGAACAATCTAGCATACACTAGCTATGTATCTCAGGTAGAACCTAAAAAGGTTGAAGAGGCTCTTGGTGATGAGTGTTGGGTGGATGCGATGCATGAGGAGCTCAATCAATTTGCTAGGAACAATGTGTGGATCTTAGTTCCCAGACCTGAGAATTGTAATGTTATTGGTACTAAGTGGATCTTTAAGAATAAGACAGATGACCAGGGTACTATAACTAGGAATAAGGCTCGATTAGTTGCTCAGGGTTATACTCAAGTTGAAGGAATTGACTTTGATGAGACTTTTGCCCCTGTTGCACGACTTGAGTCTATTCGGATTCTGCTTGCTGTTGCTTGTATCTTAGGGTTCAAATTGCATCAAATGGACGTAAAGAGTGCCTTCTTGAATGGACTTCTTCAAGAAGAAGTCTATGTGGAACAACCAAAAGGATTTGTTGATTCTAAGTTTTCCCACTATGTCTACAAACTACACAAAGCCCTTTATGATCTGAAGCAAGCTCCTAGAGCTTGGTATGAGAGACTTACATCATACCTTGAAGAACATGAATTCTCTCGAGGAGGTGCAGATATGACCTTATTTATTAGACATGTTGATGAAACTATCACCATTGCTCAGATTTATGTCGATAACATAATTTTTGGCTCTCCTCTTGAGTCTCTAGCTTGAGTTTGCTGAATGTTTGAAGCAAGAATTTGAAATGAGTATGGTTGGGGAGTTGAGTTATTTCCTTGGACTTCAGGTAAGACAGACAGAGGATGGACTGTTCATTTCACAGTCCAAGTATGCTAAGGATCTAGTTAAGCGCTTTGGGCTAGATAGTAAGAAGCATACTAGGACACCTATGAGTACTAGCTTGAAGTTAGGTCGTGATCCTTCAGGTAAGAGTGTAGATCCTTTCCTATATCAAAGCATGATAGGTAGTCTTCTTTATCTCACAGCTACTAGACCTGACATTGCTTTTAGCATTGGTGTGTGTGCTCGATTTTAGGCAGATCCAAAAGAATCACACTTAAGCTCTGTTAGACGCATCATTAGATATGTGAGTGGTACAGTTGATCTAGGGATCTTCTATTCTCGGAATTCCAATCTTGACTTGGCTGGTTACTCCGACGTTGATTGGACTGGGAACGCAGATGATAGAAAAAGTACGACAGGGGGTTGTTTTTACATGGGTGGCAATCTCGTAGCCTGGTTAAGCAAGAAACAGAATTCTATATCGCTATCCACGGCAGAGGCTGAATACATAGCTGCAGGGAGTTGTTGCACTCAGCTTCTCTGGATGAAACAGATGCTGAGTGATTATGGGATTAGTCAAAGGACCATGACTATTTTCTGTGATAATACAAGTGCAATAAACATTTCTAAAAATCCCATTCAACACTCTCGAACAAAACATATAGACATACGACATCATTTTATTCGTGAGCTTGTTGAATCACATGTAATCTCCCTCGACCATGTCTCTACTGATAATCAATTGGCTGATCTACTTATGAAACCACTAGATGGATTGAGGTTTGAGTCGCTTCGGACGGCTGTTGGTGTTTGCTCACCTATTTGATCATGGATTCATGCATGTTCATGCATTCATCACATATGTACCTCATCACTTCATATCTTGCGTGTGATCTCTGTGTGTGTGATGCATTTCTTTTGTTTTGTTTAGTCTTCTGTTATGTGTTATATGTGTGTTTTAATATAAAAAAAATCAGATAAAATAAAATAAAATAATTTTTTTTTGGACTTTTATGTAACAATTCTGGCATTTGCATTAAAGATCAAATTCTATTTTTCCAACATGTGTCTGAATCTGAGGATCCATCTTTGTTCATTTTTCACTGTGGAGTTCTGGGTACATGACTCGTCATTCATTTTCACACAGCACACATTGTTTGGATAGATAGACATCAATTTGGATAAATAGATATCAATTTTTTGGTAATTGTGATATAACGATGGTCTGTGTATAATTCATGACTAGATTGAGTTTTTGATGTTTTGGCAATATTAGTGTATGTTTTTGGTGTTTTTAACTTACATTATTATTGCTTCTTAATCTGGTTAATGATATATGATCTATCTCTTATTTTTATTTACTGTTTCTATTTCACATGCTTTTACACTTGGTATTTGAGTTTTTGATTTTCAGGAAATAGGTTCAACAAACAGGTTCAACAAGAGATTGCTAACTTGGTAGAATAGATAGGTTATTTGGAGTCGTGTTTATTTCGTCCTTGACTATCATGTGTATTTTTGTCACAGAATGCCAAAGGGGGAGTTTGTTAGGAAAATGTGTAATTGGCAATCTGTGACCAAAGGACTTATTTGTCATGTTTGTAACGTTAGGGACTAAATTGTAAAGGTCTAATAGTTCAGGGACTAGAGTTGCAATTTAATAAATTTTATTGCATGGGTCTAGGGTAAAGGTGGATGCTTTGAAGTTGCAAACGGCGCGTTGATGTTGCTAGAGTTTCGCCCTGACCTCGCTCAAGCCTAAATTGCAGAACCAACATCGCTGGAGTTTCGCTGGGCAGTCGCTCGAGCGAAGGTGCGTCGCTCGAGTTACCCCAGCACCTCGCTCGAGCGACCGTGTTATCTGGCCATTGTTAATTTTAATTTCTCGCGAATTTTTAACACTCCATATTTCCAAATTCGACCTAGTATATAAACAAAATGTCCGGCTTTTCATTGAGAACCTTTGGCACACACAAAACATCAATTCCTCTCAAATTCCAAAGGATCAAGAACAAACAAATTCATTCTTTTCATCTTTTGTTTCTTTGAGTAAAAACATCAATCTTTACAAAAATCAAAACACCGTTTCATTATTCCTTACTAACTTCCAGAAGATCATCAGTTTGAAGATCCTGGAAGGAAATTACTTGAAGAGCAGGAATGCTTGGTGATTCACGAGAGGTTGACGATATTCAAGGCTGGGATTTTGGCGCAGATCTGCAGAATCCAGGAGAGCTTTGGTTGATACAGTAAGGAAGTCAGAGAATTGGTAGTTTCAATTGTGTCTGGCGTACTGTAAGTGAATATCTTCGATAGTGAATCTCTATTGGCTTGTGCCCTGAGTTTTTACCCAGTTGGATTTTCTCCGTCAACATTTTGTGGTGTTTTTATTGTTTTTACTGTTTTTCGTTATTTACTTTTCAATCGAAAATTCAACTTAAGTAGATAAAAGTATGTGAATGAATCTAGGCAATGCTTAATTTATGTGACTTGTTGCATGAATTAATTAATTGATTTAAATTCCGCATAAACACCTATTCACCCCCCTCTAGGTGTTGGTTGGGTCGAATTATATCTTTTTCAGAAACATATCAATATTTTTTGTTGATTGTATGGTTTTCACTTTGTTCGGATGCAATAACTTGTCCTTTAAAAAAGACAAAAGTGAGATTAAGTTCCATAACAATGGGATGGAGGGATTTACTAATGGAGAAACATTTATTTTCTGATTTAAGCATAGAAACATAGATCTTATTGGCTGTTACATGTTTTTCACCTCTACTAGAGAATTTAGTTTATAAATCTATTAATATGAAGTGATGATTCCATTATGTAACTCCGGAGAAAAAGGAAGTTTGAACATACTTATTTGATTTCTTTGGATAAGCCTGCAGTTCTTTAGTATGGAAGTATAGACGTTGGAAATATTATATCTTCTTTTTAATGGTTAAATTTACTCCCTCTGTCTGGAATTGAATGACTTGATTTACTTCTGCTGTCGTTTTACACCATAAGCTTTTGAGACCACATCTGACCAAAGTTGAAGAGCAGTAGCAGGGCGGGGGTTTCCGAGGAATACAAGTAACCTCCTAGTTTTTTAATATTTGGAGAGTATCTGGAATAACTAGTAAACTTACAACTTTGTGGAGACCTGTGATTTTGGTAAACAGTTGTCTCGAACTGGTCAATATGATACGTTCATAAAAAAAATTCGATTCATACGGATTCTTCCCCCAACTAAGGAAGAGATATTGGCAAAATTGAGTTATTTATACCAAGTATTCTTCTTACGGTTAGATTTAATCTCTTGGTCCCTACGGAAAGGAAAATTATTTAGATATGTTGTCGATAGGGAATTAGATCTAAAACTTCTTTTTTGGTAAATGTTCAATTTTCATGAGATCGTCTTGACTGTTATTCAAAATGTCCAAATCTGTCTATATTGTGATGTTGGGACTTGCGAGAAATAATTCCTCCACTTCTTGTGCAATTGGTAATTTCTATTTTCAAGTTATGAGTTACAATTAAGAAAATTTGAAATATAATTAGTTTGCAATTTAAACAAAGTGCAGATCTCTTGTATATATGTGATCTTTAGTATATTTGCATGAAGACTGAACTTAATAAGCAGCCATGGAGCCCACGCAAAAAGTGTGGTTAAAAATGTATGGGAAGTGGGTCCTACTCAAATTAAGATATAATTAAGGAAATCACATATATGTGGCTTATTTAACTTTGTGGGCTAAAGGCTTATATTTGCCAAAATGCTTTATTGTTGAAATTATTTTTGAAATTTGTAATTAAATCTGATTAGATGTGGAAGAGGAAAGAAAGAATTTCAAATCTTTGACATAGATGAACACAGTAATTTTGTTTTGCTTACCAATAAACTCAAAGATCCGAATAAAATGATTCTTTTTTATATAGGGAACGTATATGAGATCTTAAGGGGGCCTTCTATCGCCATCAAGGAACAAGCAGAGAATGTTAGTAGAAGCATATCTTGTATTCAATTGCACTAATGTTTCATTTTTAACATATTATTAATAATGGTAGGGATTTTTTTTTTCCATCTACAAAAGCCTTCTTCCCCACCCCAGTGGACATTTATCAAATACTAACTGCAATATTTGGAAGAAATTCTTTTAAACAACCCTAAAAACGAGGAAAGAAGCAGTTGAATATCAAAATGATGCAACCAACAGAACACTACCAATTTTGAGCACAACGTGAAAAGTAGAAAAAAGAGAATGAAAATTATAATTTAAAGAGTGATTATACATGTATACTAAGGTAGCAAAGTGGATCATGCTAGCATCGCACTATTTGTTTCACTCAACTTATGGTATTGAGATGATTTCCAAATATCACTGACAGATATCTAGTGATCCAAGTTGTCCATGTTAGCAAATTACCATACTACTACCACCTATTTCAGCGAATTTCGCAAACCTTGATGTCTCATAGCAGGCCTCATTTCTAACTATATGTATTAACTTCAAGGAAAATTCAATTTTCAGGCGTGTTCTTCTTTGGTCTTAGAAGGGCCGACTGTTTAAGTAGTTCTACAGTAGATGTTGAGATTCAAGTTTGTTGACAAAAATATCCACATATCATCTAGATTTGAAACATAGTAGTGAAAGGTCTAAGTTCTTGATATTAGCTTTAATGCATCTATGCCCTCCATCCTCCCTCAAGCCCTGCTGTGGCTGCCTCCACCTGTTTCTTTAAGTTATTTCATGGTACTGCTTTACTCTTTCTTGTTAGGATTGACAAATGGTGGGTCCTTTCTGACAATTGTGAAACTGGTTACTATGAGACATACATCAATTCTATTTATGACTAACTGTACATAAGTTACACATTATTTGTTTTCTTGTACCTCATTTTGTAGGATTTTTGCAATCAGCAATATCTAGTCAAGTTCTTCCATTAACCAATTTATTTTGAGTGTACTGAAGAATGGCAGATGGAATATCAAGCTTTTGGGGGCCTGTCACATATACGCACAAGTGGTGTGAGCCAAATTATGTATATTCTTCCTATATTGCCGAATTTTTCAACCCCATGTCTAATGTACCGGGCATTATATTAGCACTCATTGGTCTTGTGAATTCCCTGAGACAGCATTTTGAGAAAAGGTTTAGCATCCTTCACATATCAAATATGATACTCTCCATCGGCAGCATTTTATATCATGCCACGTTGCAGCGTCTGTAAGTTTTCTGTTAATGTTCTTATCTATCTACATATTGAGTTGGAGGTGGTGAATTTTTTTGGATTATTTACATAAAGAATTTTGCTTCATGTTTTGCCAAATTAGTGCTCGTATCCCATTTCAATAGAAGTTTGAAAAGAATGCAAGCATGTATAGGAAGGTTAGGCACTCGCTTCATCACCTTATTCATGAGGGAGGGGAGAGTTCTTAGGATGCTTATCTGGACTCTATGGAGACTGGATGCCTGCTTCTGAGTCTTTGTTGGGTTTTTTGAGAGAAGTGATGTTTGGTGTTTTTTCCCAAGTATTGTTTTCTGTTTATGTTTGTGCTCATGGATTGCGCTGCTTTCAGTATTTGGATCCCTTGCAATATGTTGGTTATTGTGGTTTCTAGCACTCTGCTTACCATGATGACGTGAATATGATCTTAATAGTACAATGATGACTTGTATAGCATGTTATTGGTATTCGAATACATTGTAATGTGGTGTGATTAAATTGGTGCTGTATGGTTTGAGCAAGTCTGATTAATAGAAGATAAGGTATTGCTTTATCACAAAATAACAAATGCTGTACCTGCTCATTTCGAGTTATTAAGGATGAGGTATGGAAAATATCATGTTACGTGAAACTGTTGTCTTAAAATAGCTTCAATTTAATATATCTGCTTATACTAATCAGACGATGTTTCTTGCTATAATTCATTGAACACTACTATCCATTATTTTACTTTTAGGCAACAGCAAAGTGATGAAACACCTATGGTGTGGGAAATGCTTTTATATATTTACATCCTATACTCACCAGATTGGCATTATCGGAGTACAATGCCCACATTTTTGTTCCTCTATGGGGAAGTTTTCGCTGTTGCACATTCACTGCTCCGCTTTGATATTGGTTTTAAGGTGCATTATCCGCTGCTTTGTCTTCTTTGCATTCCTCGGACGTACGAGTATTACATTTACACAGACAACAAATCCGCTAAGCGGCTTGCAAAGTTGTATGCCGTCACTTTTTCTGCTGGAAGCCTCTGCTGGCTAGTTGACCGTCTTTTCTGCAAGGATATCTCACGCTGGTTCTTCAATCCACAGGGTCATGCAATGTGGCATGTTTTCATGGGTTTGAACTCTTACTATGCAAATACGTTCTTGATGTACTGTCGTGCTTAACGGAATGGGTGGGATCCAAAAGTCAAGCACATTTTTGGATTTTTCCCCTACGTGAAGATTCAAAAACCGAAAGCCCAGTAGAACTTACGAAACCAGTGGGTTGCTGGTACAACTCTCTCCTTTTCTTTTCTCCATTTGAAGAGTACAATGTAAATGGTAGCTGGGAATCATTATGGCGGTTAGGATAGTGGTTAAATTTTGACCGTAAAACTAACCTGATGTTCGATATTGATGTACTTGCACAAAAGATTAAATGATTAATTGATATTTTCATCTTTTATTTTCTTTTGAAATTAAACGTGCATTCTTATTGTTTTTGAATTATGAATGATGAGAGGTTTTAGATAAATTTGTTACCACTCATCTAATGTCATTGAACTAGATTTTTCTTCATATTAGCCTTTGTGCATTCCGTGAGATAGTTCTCAAATGTTGTTTCTACTGAATTAGTTGAACTAATGTATTTGTTAGAATAGTCTACTTTGATTACTTCCAATAAGTTGGCTGAAGATTATTAGGTGTGTTTCATTGATGATTTTGTTAGCTTTATGTAAATAGTTTCATTTCATTATTGAAAAATACAGTAATCTCATCTCTTGCACAGTGCAAAACAGAGTTACATGGATACACATGTACTGTTTGTTCTGGAACAGAACAAAGTATATTTTGAGAGAAGCTTTTTTTATATATATATATGACTTATTTGATTTGAGTACATGACAAACCTATTTATAGGATAGCATAAGACTACTAAGAGTCACACAATTAAGAATAATAATAATGACTAATAATGATGATGATGAATGCATCCATTAATAATGACTAATAATGATGGTGAATGCATCAATCTCTTCATCTTCCTCTCCAACACTCTTCATATTTCATCATGTGGAGAAAACCAAAAGTCTTCAATAATCAACATTCTCCTCCTTGAAACTTTTGGGTAAAACTCCAATTTTCAATCTTAAGTCTTCAAACCTGAATTTGGGCAATGCTTTAGTGAACATATCTGCAATTTGAGATTCACCTGGACAATATTGTAGATGAACTTCTCCTTCTTTCTCAGCTTGTCTGATAGCATGGAACTTCACTTTAATATGCTTGGTTCTTCCATGATCAACTGCATTCTTTGCAACAGCAATGGCTGATTGATTATCCACCATGATAGTTGTAGGATTATCTTGACTTTTCGCAAGATCATTAAGAATTTTCCTCAACCAAACGACATGATTTACAGGTGATGATGCTGCAATATATTCAGCTTCTGCTGTGGATTGTGCCACTACTTCTTGCTTCTTTGAATTCCAACAGAATGCTCCCGAACCAAGTGTAAATAGATAACCACTCGTGCTCTTCATATCATCCATGGAACCTGCCCAATCACTATCTGAATATCCAATCAAATTTGAGCCAACTTCTCTAGCAAAATAGATGCCATGATTTATTGTTCCTTTGATATACCTAGGGACCCTTTTGGCAACTCCAAAATGTGTTTGTGATGGCTTACTCATGAATCTAGAAAGTAAGCTTGCCGCAAACATCAAATCTGGTCTTGTTACTGTCAAGTACAGTAAACTTCCAACAAGACTCCTATATTCCTTCTCATTGATTGGCTGGTCTCCATCTTCTTTGGATAATTTTGTGTTCAACGCAACTGGTGTATCAACTGGTTTACACTGCTGCATCTTGAACCTCTTCAAGATATCACTTGCATATTTCTTTTGTGAAATGAAAATACCATTTTCTGTTTGCTCAACCTCAATGCCCAAAAAATACTTCATCTCTCCAAGATTTGTCATCTCAAATTCTTCCTTCAATTTATCAGCAAACAAATCAATTTGCTTTTTACTGTTTCTTGTGATGAGTAAATCATCCACATACATGGATAGAATCAAGATATCAGAATTTTCATCACTCTTCACATAAAGAGTATGTTCATTTTCACTCCTCCTGAATCCTTTAGCGCATAGATAACCATCTATTTTGCTGTACCAAACTCTTGGCGCCTGTTTCAAACCATACAAGGCCTTTTTCAGCTTGCATACACGATCAGGATAGATTCTAGACTGGAAACCTTCAGGTTGTTCAACAAAAAAATCCTCCTCCAGTTCACCATTGAGAAATGTGGATTTTATATCCAACTGATGTATCTTCCACTTCTTTTGTGCTGCTAGTGCAAACAATAATCTGATGGTGTCAAACCTTGCAACCGATGCAAAGGTCTCAAAATAATCAACACCACTTTCTTGTGCAAATCCTCTAGCAACTAACCTTGCTTTGTATTTGTTCACTGTGCCATTTGGATTCATTTTTGCCTTGTAAATCCACTTCACTCCAATCACTTTTCTTTCATCAGGACGAGGTACCAATTCCCAAATCTGATTTTTATGAATCATCTCCATTTCAGTTTCCATTGCATCAACCCATTCAGAATGTTGTTGTGCCTCTTCATAACTGCTGGGTTCAACCACTGCCATATTACACCTCTGATAAATCTCATTCAAAGATCTGGTTCCTCTAGGAGCCGGACTAGATCTTGAAGATTCAGAATTTTCTGCAGTAGGTGCGATAGATTCTATCTCGGAAAACTGAACTACTAGTGTTGGAGTTGAAGTTTCCACTGGGATAGGAGGAAAAACTGCTACCTGTTGCTGTGTATTGGTTTAATTAAAATTCCACTTCGAACTTTCATCAAATTTTACATCACGGGATATCACAACTTTTCCAGTTTCTGGAAGATAGATTTTATAGCCCTTTGTCTGTGAACTATATCCAGTAAAGATCCCTTTCACAGCCTTTTGCTCCAACTTGTTTCTTTTCTGATCTGGGACATGAACATAGCACAAAGACCCAAAAACTTTCAGATGCTTGGCTGTAGGTTTCATTCCACACCATGCCTCAATAGGTGTCATATTTTTCACAGCTTTTGTAGACAACCTATTTTGCAAATAAACGGAAGTATAAACTGCTTCTGCCCAAAACGAATTTGGAAGTCCCTTCTCAGCTAGCATACATCTGGCCATCTCCATGACAGATCTATTTTTCCTTTCTGCCACTCCATTTTGTTGCGGAGTGTAGGGAATGGTAAGTTGCCGATGAACTCCATAATCCTCACAGAATTGATTGAAGTTGGTAGATGTATACTCCTTGCCATTATCTGATCTCAAGGTCTGAATTTTACATCCAGATTGTGTCTCTACCATATTCTTGAATTTTTTGAACACATTGAACACATCTGACTTGTTTCTCATGAAGTACACCCAATACATTCTTGTAAAGTCATCAATGAATAGCACAAAATACAAATTATGACTCAAGGATGGAGTTTTCATGGGACCACAAATATCAGTATGCACAAGCTGCAATTTTCCAGATGCCCTCCATGCACCATCATTAGAAAATGACTCTCTATACATTTTCCCCAAACTACAGCTCTCACATACTCCTCCAGATTCATGAATTTTAGGCAAATCTCTCACCATGCCATGAGAATGCACATATGACAAAGACTTGTAATTATAATGACCATATCTTCTATGCCACAAATCAGATTCATCCACATCAACTCTAGACATAGTTGCAAGTAAGCTATGCCATTGAATGCTAAAACTTCTATTATGCATAGGCAAACTAGCAGTTTCAACATCATGAGGATCATAGATTTTGCATTTCATATCTCGAAAATGCACAGCATATTTCTTTTCAAGCATTTGACCCACACTTAGTAAATTTGAATCCAAGCCAGGCACTAAAAGTACTTCATCAATATACCTTGTACCTTTTTTTGTTTGGATAGCAATGGTACCCTTACCTTTGGCTGGTAGGACTCCTCCGCTTCCAATTTTCACCGTGGCCTTCACATTTGTGTCTAAATTGCGAAAAATCTGCTCCAAATTGGTCATATGATTGGTGCAACCACTGTCTACAAACCATGTTTCCTTGCTACTCAATTCAGCTCCATGAACAGCTACAAACAAATGGTTTTCACCATTCCTTTCATGTGCAAATGCTGCTTGCTGATTTTGATTTCTTTGTTGATATTGTGGCTGCTTTAGATTCTGCTTTTTGGCTCTACAAAACTTTTCAATATGGCCCACTTGCTTGTAAAATTTGCATTGCTTTGTCTTCCAACACTTCTTCTCAAGATGGTTGGTTTTTCCACAATGAATACAAGGAGAAAATGAGTCTCCTTTGCCTTTCTTCTTCCCTTCTTGGTATTGTTTTCCTCCACCTTCACTTGAACTTTGCGGTTTAAACTTTGCCGCAAGAGCTCCTTCAATAGTTACCTCAGATCTTGACGTTAACCTTTGCTCATAGGCTAACAAAGCACCTGTAAGTTCAGTTAAAGAAAGACTTGACAGATCCTTTGTATGCTCTATAGCCGTGGTAACAACATCAAACTTTTCGGGTAAGGTAATCAACATTTTTTGCACCACTCTTTTGTCTGGTACGTCCTCTCCATTCAATTTAAGCTGATTCACTACATTAGCCACTCTAGAAGAGTAGTCCTTTACGGATTCAGCATCCTTCATCCTTAGATTTTCAAACTCTCTGCTCAAAGTTTGCAATCTTACTGCTCTCACTTGCTCAGACCCTTTGTACTCTTCTAGTAATTTATCCCAAGCCTCTTTTGCTGTTGTAACGGTCACAATCTTGGGAAAAATTGTCTCAGTGACAGAAGAGTGCAAGAAGGTAAGAGCCTTCATATTTTTTATTCTACGATCCTTCTCTTGCCTCATTTGATTCACAGTAGGGTCTGCATCCAACTCCTGTGGAGTATAACCTTCTTCAACAATCTCCCATAGATCATGTGCCATCAAGAAAGCCCTCATTCTGACAGACCAATACTCATAGTTTTCGCCTCCAAACATCATGGGGATAGGCATTGAAGCTATAGTAGAATTTGCCATTTTTCCTCTTTCTCACAGGCCTTTAAGATCAGGAGTGCTCTGATACCAAATGTTTGTTCTGGAACAGAACAAAGTATATTTTGAGAGAAACTTTTTTTTTTTTATATATATGACTTATTTGATTTGAGTACATGACAAACCTATTTATAGGATAGCATAAGACTACTAAGAGTCACACAATTAAGAAGAATAATAATGACTAATAATGATGATGAATGCATCCATTAATAATGACTAATAATGATGGTGAATGCATCCATCTCTTCATCTTCCTCTCCAACACTCTTCATATTTCATCATGTGGAGAAAACCAAAAGTCTTCAATAATCAACATGTACCA